TGGGTGTAGCGGAGATGAGGATGCTTCGTGGGATGTGTGGGCACACGAGAAAGGATAAGATTGGGAATGAGGATATCCGAGGTAAAGTAGGAGTAGCCGAAATTGTAGGAAAGATGAGAGAAAATCGGCTCCGGTGATTTGGACATGTGCAAAGAAGGCCGAATGATGCTCCGGTTCGAAGATGTGACTACGGGACAGAGGTTCAGGGCCGAAGGGGTAGAGGAAGACCTAGGAAAACTTTGGAAGAGACTCTAAGAAAAGACTTAGAGTACTTGGATCTAACGGAGGACATGACACAAAACCGAGCGTAATGGCGTTCTAGGATTCATATAGCCGACCCCACTTAGTGGGAAAAGGCTTTGTTGTTGTTGTTGTTGTTGTTGGAGTCAATTATTATTCGTTTGAATGGAGTAAATGGACTTTGGACCAGCTCATTTTTTAGGGGTAGAGTTGCTCTCATAACAACAGGCTACCGATCCCACAAAGGCAACAAACTATATCAGGAAAATGCTAGTGGTTCCCATAACCAACTGGTATTGGTTATCACACTTTGACTTTGAGATACGTCTAAAGTCGAATGCATTGATTACAATTTACAACATTGTGAAACAAGAAGTAGAGATATCACAATTTACACTAGAGTGAAGTCAGACATCAAATATACATCAGAAATTCATGATAACTCCTCTTGTTCCACTAAAATTAATTTAAACTAAAAACCAATATTGCATGGTACAAGAACCCAACTCTCAAATCACAGTGCCCATAACAACTAGATAGCTTAGGTTATAAGTATCAATGGAAATGAACATTAAGTACTCAACCACCACCAATGGGAACTATTCTCAAAACGCTCAAGAAATTAAGACAGCACGCGCACTTGACCTGATGCTAAGAACCGGGTCATCTTTTGCTTTTGGGCACTGAAAAGTCACTATTCTGGTATTAGCACACCAAATTTGACCAAGCACCTACATATCAGTTTCTGAACTGAACATGCATGTTTTAATATTTTTTCCATACGAGTTCAGAAGGAAACCCCCCAAAACACCATGAATTCTCACATTGCCGTAACATTATTATCTGTTCTTGCATGCATTTTCTTGAGTGTAGACTCAGCATTCACTCCAAGCAATGTCACAGACAAGGAGGCCTTGATATCATTCCAATCTACGGCCAATCTCCCTCCATTTTTGTGGAACCAAAGCTCATCCCCCTGCACCAACTGGACCGGAGTTGCTTGCAACAGAATCGGTGGGACTCAACGGGTTGTTTCTCTCGATCTTTCCGGCTTCGGACTCACTGGCTCCATAAGCCACCATGTTGGGAGCTTGACAGAGCTTCAAGTCTTGAACTTGGCGCGCAACAATCTCAGCGGTCCAATCCCGCCATCCATAAGCAACCTGTCTTCCACCCTCACAAGTTTGAATCTTGGCACGAACAGCCTCACCGGTATAATCCCAATGGAATTAGGTTTTCTTCGTAAGCTCAAAGAACTTGATCTTGCCGGCAACCAACTCACCGGCACTGTTGCCTTGTCCATATACAACATCTCTTCGCTAGTTCGCTTCACCGTTGCTTCAAACCAACTCTGGGGTGAAATTCCAAGCAACATTGGCGTCACGCTGCCAAACCTTCTCTACTTCAGAAATTGTTTCAATCTGTTTACAGGGAAAATTCCAGCGTCCTTGCACAACATTACAAGGATTCGAGAGCTCCGACTGTCCAACAATTTCCATGACGGTTCAGTTCCACCAGGCCTCGGAAATCTTCCCTTCCTTGAAATGTACAACATTGGTTTCAATCGGATCGTTAGCTATGGTGACAATGGTCTTGATTTCATTACTTCTTTGACAAACAGCAGTCGCTTAAGTTGGCTTGCAATTGACGAAAATCGGTTGGAAGGCCTAATTCCAGAGTCCATTGGCAACCTCTCCAAGGTTCTTTCTAAATTGTACATGGGAGGGAATCGAATTTATGGTAACATACCTGCCTCAATTAGTCAACTCAGTAGCTTAACTTTGCTAAATGTGAGCTACAATTCAATTTCTGGTGAAATCCCATCAGAAATTGGGCAGCTGAAAGAGTTGCAAGTGCTTGGGTTAGCAAGAAACAAATTGTCTGGCACAATTCCGAACTCCTTAGGTAATATGATGAAACTGAACCGCATTGATTTATCTGGAAATTACTTTGTTGGCCATATACCCCTTTCATTTTCAAACTTTCAGAAATTGCTTTCCATGGACTTATCTGACAATTCGCTCAACGGAAGCATTTCCGGAGAAATATTTCTAAACCTTCCTAGTTTGAGCACAATTTTGAATTTGTCTAACAACCTTCTAAGTGGACCTTTGCCTGAAGAAATTGGAGTACTAGCAAATGTTGTCACTATAGACCTCTCCAACAATGGCTTATCGGGGTCAATTCCCAGCTCAATTGGAAAATGTACAAGCTTGGAGAGATTGTTCATTGCAAGAAACAACCTCTCCGGTCCTCTTCCAAATGCTCTTGGAGAAATCAGAGGTCTTGAGATTTTAGACCTCTCCTCGAACAAGCTTTCTGGTTTTATTCCTGATAAACTTCAAGAACTACAGGTCCTTAGCTTCTTGAACCTCTCATTTAACAGCTTAGAGGGAGTAATTCCTAATGGTGGAGTGTTTGTTAGAAATATCTCAAGTGTATATCTAGAAGGAAACTGGAAACTTTGCCGAGATTGGCCATGTGCGAAGAGTGGTGGTCAGAGGAGAAAAGTACTGGTTTTAGTTCTTATCATAACATCTGTTCTGGCAGCATTGGTAGGCATTGTGGTAATTGGCTGGTTGCTTTGTGTTAGGAAAAGAAAAGGCTTAGGCTGCAAAACAACAATTAGAGAAACTTCTCCTGATTTATTAATAAAAGGGCAACATCAATTGGTCACATACGAAGAGCTCCGCAGCGCAACTGGGAATTTCAACCCGGAAAATTTGGTTGGAAGTGGGAGCTTTGGGACTGTATACAGAGGGTTTTTAAGACAAGGGACCGAAGTTGCAGTGAAGGTGCTTGATATAAAAATGACAGGATCTTGGAAGAGTTTTTTGGCAGAATGTGAGGCGTTGAGGAACGTGAGGCACCGCAATCTTGTTAAGTTGATCACTTCGTGCTCGAGGGTGGATTTTAAAAACATGGAGTTTCTGGCCTTGATTTATGAGTATTTGAGTAATGGGAGCTTGGAAGATTGGATTAAGGGCAAGAAAAAGAAAGCAGATGGAGATGGATTGAACATTTTGGAGAGACTCAACGTGGCCATTGATGTGGCGAGTGGATTAGATTATCTGCACCACGATTGCGAAGTTCCAGTTGTACATTGTGATTTAAAGCCGAGCAACATTCTTTTGGATGGAGACATGACTGCAAAGATTGGAGATTTTGGGCTGGCGAAGCTGCTCATGGAGAGAACAGAGATTACTCAACATTCTCTTAGCTCCACAAATGTTCTAAAGGGTTCTATAGGATACATACCACCAGGTTAGTACTAATTATTCTATTTCCTCACTTGCAAACATTTTTAGTTATGTTCAGTATATTCCATAATTCATTGCCGTTATATTTTGCATATTGTGTTGATATTTGGTCAATCTTTGTAACTTTAATGAATATTGTTAATGTATTAAGTACTATAGATTGATACTCGGTATCAGTTATTCGTGATTGTTTTAGCAAATGTGCTTGCTTTATAATTTTCTGACTTTGAAAATGAACACTACAATACAATGTAGAGTATGGTTTTGGACAGAAACCATCGACAGCGGGAGATGCATACAGTTTTGGAGTGATGTTGTTGGAGCTCTTCACTGGAAAAAGTCCAACCGACGAAAGTTTCACAGGAGACGAAAACCTCATCAGATGGGTGCAATCAGCCATCCCTCACAACATGATCAAAGTGCTAGACCCCGAGCTGCTAGACCTCATGCACTGCCTGCCTAATGAAGGGCCGTATCTCATCCCAGCAGAAGAACATAATTGCCTGGTCTTAATTTTCGAAGTTGGACTCTCTTGCACTTGCGTTTCGCCTGACGGACGCAGTAGCTTGAGGGAGGCACTTTACAAACTAGAAACTGCTAGGCAAACTCTGTTCAAAGTTGAGAGTGTCAACTGTCAAGCGTTAACTTGAACAACAATTGCACATTCACGAATATGTTAACAGCGAAAATCTTCCGAAAACACGAATCTCGCACTCTCGGAGGCTCGGACATATATTGCTGTGAATGACACACCCAAACCAATAGTTACGGCTGGTATGTATAAAACATTGTGTTTTCAGTATTTGGATTTGTAAGGACGATGATGAGAAGAATAATTTATTGCCTTTTTATGTTATTGTTTGATTTAGCTTTCTTTTTCATTCTGCTATGTTTGAATATCGATTGATTCAAAAACAAAAATTTTGAATATAATAATAAGGAATTAGACAAACGTCTAACATAAAAATGAAGAACCACTCAAGTTTTAATTGAAATCAAACAAAGTAAAAAAAAAAAGGGTCTGGGCTAAGCCTTTTTCGATCAAAAGAAGAATCAGTTGCACGTTTCTAGTCTCGCTAAAGTGAAAGAAACCAATTTAAATGATTTGCTAATTTACAATTTACAAAAAAAGAAATTCAAACTCAAATAAAATAAAATAATTCTTTAATCAACTGACTTATACATATTTAAAAGAAAAATTATTGTACTTGATTTAGAAGAGTAGCACTTTCAAATCATGGCGCCCCAAATTTGTTTGCCCCAAAAGTGAATTATGAAAGTTTCAAAATTTGTAACCCAAATCAGACCCAAAAACAAACCGGACCGGGAAAAACCCCAATTTCAGGTTCACAAAGCGCGCAAAATCAAAGTTTTGAATCCGGTTCATTAGAAAGTCACGTCACGTGCGTTTCCACAAATTTTAAATTCGACCAAACGAACACGACAAACCGCTCCAAAAATTACTGAAAAACACAAAATTAAAAGCTCCAAATCCAAAAACAATTCGCATCAAATCAAACAGCGCGAAAAGAAGAAAATTTTGAGGCTCTTCCAACATGGCGCTCTCCCTATCTTTCTCAAAACTTCAAAGTCTTCAACTTCCTCTACAAATCCCCATCTCCTCCCTCACTTTACACACCTCCAACTCTCTCTCTCTCTCTGCGTCCAAGCTACAGCAAGTAGTCCAAAGCTCGGTACTCTGAGAGCAATGGCCTCTACCACTGTGGCGGAGCAAGTGAACCGCAGTCGCATCACCACTCGCGCGGCTGCCAAGAGGAGGGCGATGGCCACCTTGGCGGAGGAGAACCAGTTGGGTAATAAGAAGCGCGTGGTGCTTGGAGATGTTACGAATTTGGTTAACGTCGTCGTTTCGGGGAACTCCAAACGGGTTGAGCTGCAGAAGCCCCATTGTGTCACCAAGAAGGAAAAGAGGGCCGAGGCGGCGCGTGAGTTTGAGGATCCGCAGCTTTGTGGCCCGTACGCTTCCGACATTTATGCATATCTCCGTCGTATGGAGGTACAAAGATCCCACCTTTTCCCAAGTTTTTCGATTTCTTCATTCGATAAGTTGAACGGTGTTGGATTGTTCGATCGATCTTGATATTGGGTTAGGGTTTGGGGTTCCATTTTGATAATGGTGATTTGAATTTTGAAAAATCCTGCTACTTTTTGGGCTTAATCTCAATTGGGGTTTATGTTTTGTGAAGTTGGGATTTTCGGTTTGCATTAATGATGGGTTGTTGTTGTTTAGGCGGAGCCAAAGAGAAGGCCGTTGCCTGATTACATGGAGAAGGTTCAGAAGGATGCAAATGCCAATATGAGGGCAGTGCTTGTGGATTGGTTAGTGGAGGTTTCAGAGGAATACAAGCTCCTTCCGGAAACCCTTCATCTATCTGTTTCTTACATCGATAGATTTCTCTCAACGAATGTTGTCCACAAGCAGAAACTTCAGCTTCTGGGAGTTTCTTCGATCTTCATTGCCTCGTGAGCTTGCATATCTTTGGATCTGTTTGTGAGTTTGTCTGATTGGTTCTGTTTCTTATGATCTGAAATTAATGATACTTTTAACTGATAGGAAATATGAAGAGATTGATCCTCGTAATGTGGATGAGCTCTGTGACATAACCGAAAATACATACACAAAAGAAGAGGTATTTGATCTTTTACTTTGTGTTTTATCTGTGATGATTGTCTCTTTTTACATCAGGATCTCAAGTAGATACATGTGCTTTATACTAAGAGTGATTTTTTGGTGGTTGTAAAGGTGATCAAGATGGAGGCTGATATCCTCAAATCCCTGAAGTTTGAAATGGGGAATCCAACTACTCGTACCTTCTTAAGGTAAGGATGAACCCGATGTTCAAAGGTCACTCTTTTTGGTATATTTAGTTGCTTCCCAAGCTTAAATGACCTTGGCTGAGTGTTTTTGTTCCTTTGGTGTATTGTTTTACAGAAAATTCACTGATGTTGCTCAAGAGAGTTACAAAGTAAGCTTTCCTTCTGCCCTCTAACATAGATGTCGATTTGACATGTTTATGGTCTCTTGTACTAACTGCTTGACTGTTTTGTGTGGTTTACAGACTCCCAATTTGCAGTTAGAGTTCTTGGTTGCCTACCTTTCGGAGCTGAGTTTGTTGGATTATAAACTTGTCAAATTCCTGCCTTCTTTGATAGCTGCATCAGCTGCTTTTCTGGCAAGATTTATGACTCGAACAAAAACACATCCTTGGGTAAGGATATGATGAATTACTTATGCTGGCTTCCATAGTTCTATATGTATGGAAGCAATTACTAAGATGCATTCATTCCAGTGTCCAGCACTACAACAGTATACCGGATATAAAGCAGCTGATTTGAAAGAATGTGTTCTTGCCATACATGAGATGTGCTTGGGAAGAAGAGCAAGAAATTTGAATGTTATTCAAGAGAAATACAAACAACCTAAGGTACTTATATCAAAAATATGTTTGACCTTTTCTTATTTTCTAAATTTCGGAAACAATGATTCTGATGGAGTTTTATTTTTCGAATGCAGTTCAAATGTGTGGCACATATTCCTTGCCCTCAAGAAATACCAGTTCATTTCTTTCAAGATCTGAAAGCATGAAGAATGATCTTTGAGGCAAGGGCTTGTCCAATGTGATAGGAAGATCTGGCTTTAAGTTGATTATGGCGAGCTCAATGAAAGGGTGGTAATGTGGCCAATTGCCATTCGGTGAGGATGGGGCATCAAGTTTGATCTGCTTTGGTTTTTCATGATTGGATGCTCACTTCCAAAAACCGTTACTCCTGGTTAGCACATGATTAAACTTCTTCATGTTGGACTTCAGACATGGTGGTTCTATGCTTGCCATTCATTGGATCAACAGCGAATAAGCTTTGATGCAGGGTTATGGTCGAGCACTGAACCAAATTATCTGAAACCAAGGGGACATTGCACTTCCAACCAAATGTGGTGCAATGATGTGAACATGGGACCTAATTGTGGCAAGCCAAGATTTTCGAGCCACAGGTGGAACAATGTACATGAGCAAGAGCATTGCCCTTGTTAAACTGAAACAGCCAGCCCTTGCCCTTTTCGTTGATGAAACTAATTTAATGATCTCCCAGTATTGAGGACAAGAATGCTCATTGCTTATGGTCCCTTTATAGTTCTAGGTAGAATTTCATGGGTACACCTTTGTTCATGTAATAAGCTATGATGCAAATTTGAAGTTTGCTGACTTCTGGTAAGTTTGGCTGTAAATGAGAATAGAAAATCATGATCTCTTACTCAAGTATGTTTCCTCATAAATTGGCGAATAGGAAATTCCAAATTTTAATTACATTGTATATTTGAAATTTTAATGAAAAATGTATTGAAAGCTGGAAATGATGAATTTATTAGCGAATGAGGAAGAGTAAAAGTGATATTGGAGGTAAAAATGATGAATTTATTAGCGAAGAACATATCAATTAGCAAGATTTATTTATAAATTATAAAAATAAATAAACTAGAAAAACAAAAACTCATCAAAATTGTAACGACCCGTCCCTAAATTTTAAGGTTTTAATAATTTTAATTTGTGAATTTATGAAAATGCCCTTCAAAACAAATATGTTGATTGCTTTGTCGTGTCACATAAGATTCGTTTTCTTGGCGTATTCTCGTAGTACTCATCCCTACGAACACGTGGGCGTAAATGGAACACAATTTGGAGTTATTAACAAACGAAGTTGGGGACAAAATAGTAAATTGATTAATTTCTATAAGGCTCTAGATTTTTGGAGCCAAATCCGAAAAGCCACGTGTGTGGTTGAGATTGAAGGAAAGGAGAGATGATCGGTGGAGATGGAAAATAAAGGAGAGGTGAGGACCAATTGGGAGAAGGGAGAGGGTGAGTGACCAATTAGAGAAAAGAAAAAGGAGGGGAAATGAGAGAAATGAGGAGCACATGATAACCCTTGACCCGATTCCTCCCCGCCGACCCGACTTGGTTTCTACACAACCCGGTGGTGATTCCGACGATTTCCCGGCGAATTGACCGTTGCCACCACCTAAAATCAACCCCACGACCTCCTTTTTTCACGTTACACCTAAAAATCGAGGGATTTGGGCCTTAATTTGTGAAGATCGAAGGCACAGCTTCAAGGGTACCCACGACGATGAATCTGTCATTCCTGCAACGTTTTCGTTCAATTGCCACCACCAACATACTTCCCTTGAGTCCAGGAACAAAGCCGACCCTTTATAGGGTTTCCGACGGGTTTTAGTGAAATTGAAGCTTTTTTCCGGCCAAATTGGTGTTGGTCACAGGTATGAAAGTTGCTCCACACATCGAGATTTTAATTCCTGTAAAATTTGATAATTTTTTGAGTTATTGGATTTTCCGGCAAGTCAGGTGGCCGACCGCCACACGTGGCGGCGTGTGAAGGAAAAACCCGAGGTTCCTCAACGTACTAAATTCAAATCCACCATCCGTTTTCCAAAATTATAACGTTTTAGTAGAGTTTTACTAATAGGCTCCTAATTGTGTTTAGGTGCGTTGGCAAGAAGTGATCACATTCTCGATAGTTCGAGCGGCTTTCGGGCAATGGAAAACTAGTGGGTGGACCCCTTCATAACTTATATATTTTTATAAAATATTGGCCTAGCATGCATTTCATATTTCGTGCATTTAATATGTTTTACATTATGCTTTCCCGATTTCTATAATTATGGTTTATATAGAATTCATGATTTAATTAAGTTGCTTTACAAAATATTATGATTTATTGAAATTACGTTTTTATGAGCAGATATGAATTATTGGATTTGCGTATATGGATTTTTATGGATTTCAATTATGATTTACGAATATAGATTTATTATGGTTATGAAGATGGTTTGAGCTTTGATACAAGTTTTGAGTTATGTTTTCGATACTTACCTAGTGGGTTATCATACGGCACATCCGCACACCACATGTATTGTCTATGGCCATAGGACACAGATGATGGAGGAGTGAAATATGATATATTATATACCCCCAGCTTCACCGCCGAAAGCGGTGTCAGACAACTTCACTAGTTGCGGCTAGTGTCGATGTGGATGTATGCTATTTGATTATACTTTACCTGCGGGTGATGGACAAGTTATTCAGCTTCACCTTCGGGTGATGGACATATACTGCCTTCGGGCGACTATGATACCCCAGTTGAGTACTTCACTGATGACATTTACAAATTTTCCTTCTGGCAACGTTTTCAATATTTTAAGAATGGTTTTACACATATCAATTTTACAAACATCTTTCATTGCATGCTAGGATTTTCATAAAACCTACTATGTAGTATTACATATATGTTTTCAGAACATGGGGTTATTATGTTAAAATAAAATGTTTTCCTATTATTAGTATTATTATAAACTCTGGTCTACTCACCTTTTTTGGTTTTGCGCCCCCTTAGGAATTAGGATTGAGACACATAATTCCAGCGTCAGGGCACTTCAGTTTAGTTATCCTCAAGTTTTCTCTGTATAGGTATCATTTTCTTGTTCATATATTTTCTTAGTAATCCTTTCATATTATTCTTAGTAGTTGTATGCTCTGAACACGATTTTGCATCGGTTTATATCTTTCTAATTAAATATTTTATCGGTAAGCATGTTCAAAATGGTTTCGTCACCCTCAGGTGTCGACCAACACGTGTCTACCTGGTATGTGGGGATATTGGGGTTGGGGCGTGTCAAAAACCATTTCCTGATTGTTCTCTCTACTTCCAGCAACTCCTCTCTATCTTTGTTGGGTCTGTCTCCTTCTCGACTATTTTTTTATGATATTCTCGATGTCTTCCCCCACCTCTCCCATGCCCACCAATTCCTTGCGGTGGCTACTCCACCAAACGTCCGATGAATCTTTTCATTTTTCTTCTCTTGTGCGTGATAGGGACTTGCTGTTAAGAGGCAAAACTAAGCGGCATCGTTGACCTCATAAGCGACTTGTTGCTGAAGTCCAAAATGGAGTCAAATGGATTTTGTTTTGGGTTGGGTTGTTGATTGAAGGCAATGTTTGCTTTTGCAATCCTGCTTAACTTCTATATGTAGGAGAAGGGAGAAGGAGGTTTAGAGTAGTGGTTGAGTGGTGGTGCTGATACTATCTCGGTTGAATCAGTTGAATGGGTGTAGAAATATATTTAATTTTTATTTTCTTTTATTTTGTATAAGGGGTAAAATAGGAATTACAGATAAAGTTTTTTTTTTTTAGCTGGGTGTAGAAAGAGTTTGGTTGGGTCTAAAAAAAATTACCCCAAAAAAAAAATGTATTTAAAAAAAAAAACCTTGCCATTTATTCCTTCCTCAAATTCCTATAAATTAAAAACATTGCGTCTATGCATGAGTTGTATGTCAAAATCATTCTATTAGATGAGATTAAAAAAACCTTTTTAATTATACAGAAATTCGGTGGACTAAACCAATTCCATTAACAAAAATTGATAAGGAACAACAAAAGTGGGATTTCTCAGCTCCATTCAATTTCATCCGCTGAAATTTGAGCCAATTTTTTTATTTTTTATTTTCGGGTAAAAATGTTAAATTAAAGAAAAGCCTCCGTAATATGATTTTTTCTACGAAGATTTATCAATTCGAAAAGGTTAAAATCGTCAATTAAGCTTGTACAATCCTTTGTAATTTTCTCATCAGATGGCAGAAATGAGTGTCCACAAGGTCTAAGAAACACATGGTAGCTGAGGAGAGAGAGTTGAAATAAATATATACAATTTTAATTTTGAAATAATATTGGCAAAAAAAAGAAGTGAAATATTATTACTTTTTTTTTGGTGGGTCTTTCTTTTTGTTGGAATGGTGAGTCAAAATAGAATATTATCTTAACATTGAGAATAAATTTATTAATGTCTTAAAAACTTCGATAATTGTAAAATTAAAAAATATAGAAGAGAAAAAATGCTTGACGAAAATTCAAGCAAAATTCTAAAATTTCAAAAAATTGAACCAAAATTGAAGCAAGGGCGAACCAAAGGTACCGTTTGGTACGTGAGACGGGATGAAACCGAGTGGGACGATGCGTTCTGTCCCACGTTTGGTGCGCCTAAAACGGGTGGAACACGCTGTTTCACGGAGACGAATTTTGGGTGAATTTTCGTTCCACCTCACCGTTTTGGAACGACTCGTTCAACATCTGTGGAACACAAAATTATAACATCTCCGTCTCCTTCTTCTTCCTCCTTGTTTCCATCCAAGGGCATCATTGCTCCCTCTCCGTTCCTTCCCGTCTTGTCTTGTCCCGTCTAGTCCCATTTCGTTCCGTCCCGTTTGCATACGATTCCAAAATTTTTGGAAACAGCAGAAACCCAGAGGCGCCAACTTTACTTTTTCAAAATGGCGCTCTCATTTTACTCACTACAAAACTCTCTCTCCTCCCTCACATTCACCCCGAAGAACCCTCTCTCTCTCTCTGAGTCTCCGACCCAAAACCTCGGGACTCACAGATTCAAACAGCGCCAGCCATGGCGGACAAGGAGAACTGCCTGCGCTTCACGAGGTCGATAAAGAGGAGGGCCGAGGCTGCAGTGACCCCGGAGCAGCGGGCCACCAAAAAACGCGTGGTGTTGGGAGAGCTCCCGAATGCCGTCGTTCCGGCGAATAAAGTGTCCGGGGCGGAGAAGCAGATCCAGAAACGCGGCGCCAAAGGCAAGGCGAAGAAAGCAGTGCCCCTGACCAAAACGATACAGCAGCCGGAGACGGCCAAGGACGTTGATGCGGCGTCGGATGACCCCCAAATGTGTGCGCCGTATGCTCGTGACATTTATGAGTATCTTCAGAAGCTCGAGGTAAAGGGTTATCGAATTGCAGCTTTCGTTTTTAAATTAGAATTTATTGGAAAATTGGGAGCTGGGTTTTGTTGATTTTTGGGTTCTTAATTTATCTGTGGGTTCTGGTTGCATTGAAATTTGAATTAGGGATAAAGGCTTAAGCTTTCTGGTGATTAGTTTATGTCATTTTTTATTAGCTAAAGATTAAGCTATATATAGGAACTTCTGGAATATCTGTAGTCTGGCCTTGGTTTGAAGTGGAATTTACTGGAAATTGGAGGTGAGTTTTGTTAATTTTTCGGCTCTCAATTTACTAGTGGTTCTTCTGGTTGCTCTGAAATTTGAATTAAGGATAAAGGCTGAAGCTTTCTGGTGATAGTTTATGCAACTTTTGATTAGCAAAAAGTTTGAAGCTTAATTTAGTAAGTCTCATAGTCTCTGTATTTTGTTTTAGTTTGAATTGGAATTTGGGGGTTATTTTGGGTTTTGGGGTATCTGGGCTAATGGTGATGATCGGTTAACATTCAGGAGGATGAAGATCGAAGACCTTCACCCGATTACATGACAAAGATTCAAAAGGATGTCACTGCCAATATGAGAGGAGTCTTAGTGGACTGGTTGGTTGATGTTGCAGAGGAATGTGAACTCCTTTCTGACACTCTTTTCCTCACCGTTATGTATATTGATAGATTCCTATCTGTGAATGTTCTCAATCGGAAGAGGCTTCAGTTACTCGGTGTTTCTTCAATGCTCATTGCCTCGTAAGTCCCCAAATCAAAGAAATTTTAAGTCATGTTTCTTATTGCTAGAGATCCAAATTGGTAATCTTTTGGTTAATGTGGCAAACAGAAAGTATGAAGGGATCAGCCCTCCACATGTAGAACAATTTTGCTACATAACTGATAATAGGTATGATAGGGACGAGGTAAACTTTCGTATATCTTTTCCTCATCTTAGATTTTAATTTCTTGCATCTCATTCGGTTTTGTAATTGTAGAAGTTAGTTGATACTTATTTTCATTGAAGGTGTTAGCAATGGAGGCTGATATACTGAAGTCCTTAAATTTCAACTTGGGAAATCCGACAATAAAGACATTACTAAGGTAAGAAGTCTTGGTACTGATGTTCTTGGACAGTTTTTATCATATTCTACTGAGGTGCTGAGTTTGACAGCTTATCAGACTGATTAAAGTTCCTTCTCGTTTTGGTTTGCAGGAGATTCACTACATTTGCTCAAGAGAGCTACAAAGTAAGCAAAACCTCTGTCTCTCTGGCATGTGAATGTGCTACTTGGTGTTGCGGGTCAGTTCATGTGAGAAGCTAATTAATTGCTTTGTTCTTTTTATAGGATCCTAATCTACAGTTAGAATTTTTGGGATACTACCTGGCAGAGTTAAGTTTGTTAGATTATGAATGTGTTAAGTTTTTGCCTTCTTTGGTGGCTGCGTCGGTTACATTTCTTGCAAGATTTATGATCCGACCGAAGGACCATCCTTGGGTAAGTAACTCGTTGGAGAATTTTAACATCATTCAACTCAAAGTATTGAAGGCAATCGCTGAGTCATTTCATTCTTGCAGACTTTGTCCCTGCAACGATATTCTGGATATAAACCAGCTGATTTGAAGGAATGCGTTCTTCTCATATACGACTTGCATTGTAATAAAAGAGGAGCGTCTCTACAATCCATAAGAGCAAAGTACAAACAGCATAAGGTATATTCAGGCTAAAATGTTTAACCCTACTGATTTTGATTTCATTATCCACACCAGAGGGATGTTCTGAATTGCGTTGTTTTCTTGAAACAGTTCAAATGCGTCGCAACCATTTCTTCTCCTGCAGAAGTACCATCTAACTATTTTGAAGATCCGAAAGAATTTAACTTTAGCTGTGAGATGAATCCGGGAGGCAGTTAGTTTGTCAAAATCCGTTCTGATGATGCAGCTGCTTACGTTAATCGTTGTGATATAATTTCGTAGGGTTTCAACTCTCAATGGTTTTGCTTAGAAAGTCCCCACTACCAGTAGGGTTTTAGTTTTCTTTGATCGTAGGTTATTTGTTAGTCGAGAGAAGTTAGGTTGATGCTTAAAGGGTGTGAAAGCTTGTAATATTCCATGTGTTTTCAATCCCTAGAAATTTAGAAATGGTGTTTATAAATCCCAGTCTCGTATTTTATCTTTTTTTCCTCCTTTTGTTTCACTCGCATTCTGCTTGATAGATTTGAATCAGGCAATTCAACACAATAAGCTACACATAATTGCAGACCTCGGTGTTGACAAGTTTACAACAATAGCGCCCTCTGCATTCAAGTTCTAATTCCGTGTTTTGATTAAATGATAATATCGCTTGAACAAATAGTGTTAATGCTATTTATTCTTGAAATAGCATTCCATACTTAAATTGTGAAATAATAATAGAGTGGTGTTGTATTTCCATGCTTCATAAAAAGTGAAAACGCAGATACTCTTTCCTCACCCACCAATATTCCCAAAACAACCTGACATAATTTTTTGTTAGATTTAAAAAAGTTATATTTGAAAACTTTGAGTTTTAACGATAAGGACAAAATAAAGGGTAATGTGAATAGTACCAAGATTGATTTTTTAGTGTAAAAATATGATTTTTCGTTAAAGTAAACAGTACCGGGAGCTTTTCGTTAAAGCTCCCTTATTAAGACCTTAGTTAGTTACAGCAATGGAGGATGGGTTAGGTTTACACCATGTTTGGTTCTAGAGGGGTTAGGTTTCATGTTCCCCCTCGTTTCTTTGTAGTATTCTCGTTTTTTTTTTCTAGAAGAGTAAGGTTTATGTCCTCCCTTTTTTCTAGTGTATTCCTTTTTGTTGTCTCTGTTTTTTGAGGGGTAAGATTTATGTCCCCCCCTGACTAGGTGTAACTTGTTTTTTCGTTATCAATAAAATTACCCTCGTACCGTCGAGGTTTTTCAAAAAAAAAAAAAAAGCAATGGAGGATGGGTGCCATTCTCACTGACGTGAATTTGTACTCATCATCTCTTTACACCCCAAGCCAAACTGCCATGGACACCCCCAAACCCTCAACCCAACCGCAACACCCCCCAAAACCACGCCACACCGACACCCAGTTCCCCGCCTCGGTAGCCACCCATCGCAATACCACCACGCCTCAAAACTGCTCCGGTGCATAATCTCTATCATTATCCATTTTAATATAAATTTTCTGTGGAATCTTCCATGAAATCCTCTGTGAAAACCTCATGACGATCATTCTAACAACTCACTCAATATTGCGTTCGCCTTCCTCCACTTTGGTTCCTTGGTAACCAAAGAATATGAAACCAGTAAATGCAAGGATGGGAAAACCAAAACCACCAGATCCTATTGCAATGACGGATACAAATACAATTCCTGACAAGAATTTTTCATTGTATTGGAATGTTCACTAAGATGAAAGCAATCACCAACTTCTCACTATGATGTTTTAAGTATACAACTAATAATTATGTGGCAAAACTTGATTGGTTGGTCTTTAGGTCTTTAAGGGTCGTTTTACACGGATGAATTTATCAATAAAATTATTATTTCCAAATAGGTGAGAAAATAAGACAATTGAATGAGCTTAGCAGCACTAATAATATTAAGTGACACCTGAAAAAATCGACCGTTTTGATGTCATTTAACGCATACAATCCAGAAATAATTGGTAATCGGTGAGAAATTTAAGATGTCACATATTAAGATATAAAGCTTATATTCTATGTTACAATCCAACATGACCAAAAAAAAAAAAGAAAAAGGAACAGAAAAGTTCAAGGTAAATCATTAAAGTTGACGTTCTACATTCGGAAATCCATGACACATACTATGTTGTTAGCAAAACATGCCGCAACCTTATCGCCTTCCTTGTTCCAACAAACTTCAAATATCCCACCATTTCCTGTGTATGTTTTTACAATTTTGCCTTCCTTCACGGACCATATGTGCATGCACTTATCCATTGATCCACTCGCCAAGTACTCACCATCTGGGCTGAATGCAACAGAGTATACCGGATCCCTACGATTGCCATAAGGACGGTCAGTAGATTGCAAATACAACAAGTTAACAACGAAAACATTACACTCTCATCGACAAGTAAACATAACGCTATGCTCAAATATGAAAATTTTACAAGTGGCTCTTGTGTTTGTTGGTTTGAAATTGAATTCATTTTGCCTCATTTTGTTTTCAGGTTTAATACAGTAAGGGCTGTTAGCAGCCATATGGTATGGCTAGGAAGTACCTGTGGCCATCGAAGCTGTAGAGAAGTCTCCCTTGTTCCACATCCCATAGTTTTATAGTTGAGTCAAAGGAAGCACTGGTCCACATAAAATTTTGAGGAACATAAGGAATGTATAAATAAGGAAACAGCATCTACCCTTTTAAGCCAATGACTGAAACAAACGCGAGTAATCATGCATGCAGAAACACATATAGAAAAGGCGTTCACCACTACAAATCATGTAATATGATTAAACCAACAAGGGTGCAAGTACTTTGGCTCCACTTCCATGCATTCCAAAGGAGCCGCAGATTTACCTTGCTAGCACTAACTGCTGATTGGGATTATTTGTGCCTGGTCCTGTAGGACTCCATCGTATAGTATATATCTCCTGAAAATAATGCATCCATCACAAATTGTGACCTGGGATACTTTTCAACAAATTCACAAACAGAAACAAGCAGGTACCTTAACATGTTCCTTCAAATCATGCAAATATTTGTCCTGCTTCGTACTCCATATCTGCATGAAAAGATGAGTTTTCGGCACATTCAAGAAACCGACAATAATGAGAAACCCTTGAAACAACTGTTTTGTATTAAGGAGACATTAATAGGGTGTCAACGTATTGTAATCAGGAAACCCGTCACACGAGTGTAATATCATGCAACGTTACAGATTGGACATTTGAAAACAAAAGCATGTCAAATGTCTAGTTCACCTTAGCGGTATAATCATCAGAGCAAGAAGCCAACAAGGTCCCGGTTGGATCCCACTTAATAGCATTAACTTCGCCCTGAAACAGTAAAACTATGTAAGAATAAGCCAAGTGTATGTAGCTCTTGAAATTCATGCCTCCTCAAGTTATTTTATTTCACACGTATTCCCTAATGGGCAGCATCAAATGTATCATGACTCGTCAGGCACTCACTCATAATATCATACACCTTGGAATGGGCATAGCAGAGTGCTAATTGGTCTATTTTATAACTGTAAACATTGTGTTTAATTCAAAAATTGACATAGTAACTAAAAAGCAAGGAGATACTAGAAGATTGGTTTGTTGAATTCTAGAACAAACCTGATGCCCTGAGAAAGTTTTGATTGGTTGGATCTCTCCAACCTTGCAAACATGTATCAAAGTATCGGTGGAGCAAGTTGCAAAAGAAATATTGTTCCGCCAATCAACATCCAGGGTTGGAGCTGAAAAATAATTTGTGGCTTGCTTAACATATTACAGAAATTGAAATTGAACAAGCCAACCGTAGAATGGAGTGCAGTACCTGAATGAAATTCAAACTGCTGTTTCCATTCTCCGCTCTTTATGTCCCAAACAATTGCTGTTTTATCCACACTGCCACTCAAAAGATAATCACCTTTCTTGTTCCATTTCAGAGAAAAGATTGGGCCTTTATGTCTGGTTAATGTAGTCTTTAACTCTCCTGCATAAAAATGTCATCAGTAATTAGAAGTAAATTAATGTTAAGAAGAACTTAGGGATAAGCGCATGCTATTTAAAATCAACTCGACATTACATTCACCAGACTTTACTCGCAAGCATGTTACGACGGTTAACATAACAACTCACCATCTTTACTCCATATTCTTGCTTGTCCATCATAAGAACCTGTAGCAAGCAACGTCCCATCACCCTACAAAATGACAAATGTTTTAGCAAATATATATTGTGAGAGAGTCATGTCAGGTTTTCAACTACAGAGGGTGATAAAAACTCACATTCCAATCAAGTGTCGTCACGTCCTTGCTTTTCTCATTGGCTCTACCTTTGAAATGCTTCAACACTGCAACATTTGCAGGTTCATTTTGCATGCCAGATCCACAACTGCCATCTGCAATGGTCCAAATTCGCGCCGTTGAATCTCCAGACCTACACAAATAATATACATCTTCCATGTTTACGCATGTGCCCCCACCTTTTATCTTACAAAGCTGTTGGCGTGAGTTGTTTTAGCTAAGGAATGTAATTATTAATTTATTTGTTTCCTTGTAGGATTTTATTTCCTATTACTATATGGTTCCACTCCTAAATTTAGCAAAAACAATATCTCAACTCAAGCCACTTCTTTTCGAGTCATTAAGGGATAAAACACAATATAAATCATTTGATGCTAATCTGCCCGGTTATGAAAGACAATATACTCACCCAGATGCAAGAAGGGAACCTGATGGACTCCATGCACAAGCAAAAACCTGCCAGGAATAAAGTAACAAGTTACGTCAATCATACTTGATGAATTGAAAATTCTAAGAAAATGTACAACGCAGGGATATATCCAAACCTCAGAGGTATGGCCTTCTAGAACTGTTAAATCGCGACTTGGAATTTCACAAGGCAAGGATGTTGAGATTGGAGTGATATCCATTGGTTCCACCCCTATTTCATATTCATGTGCAACTTAAAGTCTTAAACTTTACAATTGGGAAGCTTAAACAGATATAAAGACGCGAAATTTACCCCCAGAAGTTTCATTTTCTTCAGGTTCCAACTTCTCCATCAAATTACAATCCTCCTCGTGTGTCTTCTCCTCAACTTTACCAATTTCTTGCTCTTTGTCCTTCTCCAGCTTATCGTCTCCATCCTCCCCTTCTTCTTTTTCCTTATCTCTCCTCTCCTCCTCTACTTCCCTCCCATTCTCCCTTCCACCTTCCTCCTTGCTCACATTCCTCTCAATCGCCGCGGCGTTCATCCTATCCTTCTTCTCCCTCACCATTTTCTGCAACTGGTATGCATCTTTCGTGATGAGATCCAACGGTTGCAGAAACGACAAGTCTTCCTCCATCTCCGCATCACTCTGTAAACCTAACACAGCCACACATCAGCCCCAAACTCCACACTTCCAAATTCCGAAACCACGAAATTCAACAACGAATAAAAAAGAAAGCTACTTACATTGCTGCTCAAGTCCGCCTCCAGCTCCAGAAACTGAAGCCCTTTCTGGAGGAAAGTAACGAGCGCGCCCGGCGGAACTACATTTCCGTCGATCGAGCTTTTATCGATGCCCGCCTCGAATCCGAAAGCGTAAGCTGAGTGCGTGAAACCTGAAAAAATCGAGAAGCTAAATCAGTGAGCTTCGGAACAATTTGTAGCCAGAAAAATGAGTAATTGGAAGCAAAATTGGAGAGGGAAAAGAAGGAGACCTGATTCGTGGAGGTAGCGGAAGACCAGGTAGTTCAATTCGGTGGAACTGAGGGAAAGCATCGCCGGAAAAGTTCAAAGCTCAGCCTTCAAACCCTAGGGTTCAGGTAAAACCGCCAGTCCACCGCCTCAGTTGTTGTAACTCACTTTTCTTTTGGTCAGAGTTGTTGTAACTTACTGGCTGTGCAGAGAGAGGGATGGCCGTTGGGGGGCTGTTTGTGAAAGTGTCACGTGTTTTAACTGTAAGTAATAAATGAGGAGCATATCTGGCGCGGCTGGGCGCTTGTTAGTTATGTTGTAGTTGAGCGGCGGCAGCCGGCGTGGCGTTTTGGTTGGGTTGGGCCCATCTTGCATACCAAAAATTTGGGTCGGATTAACTCTGCACTAGAAGGATTCAGAAGTTTGGGCCAAAGTTTTTAGGTTCCTTTTACAGTTGGGCCAAACTTTAAACTAAAGAAAATAATTGCAGTTTTAGGCCAGCTGGACATAAAAAATTTGGCCTAATCGGATAATTGTTCGTCGGGATCATAAGGTATTCAAGAGATAGTCATGCGATAAAAAAAATCGAACTTAAATTTCTGTGATGAAGCTTGTTAGAATTTATGATCGATCGATTAGAGATGTCCTAAAACTACACCCCAAATATCTATAAGCGATTGATCTAAACTCTTTTGCTTCCAAGTCCATCCAAGAATTTCAAGACGTAGGCTTTCCATGCATGGCTCATATGCAGAGAGAGAGAGAGAGAGAGAGAGAGAGAGAGATTAGTACCAGTCACGGTGGCGTATAAGACAAGCAAAAAATGGTCGTCAGAGCTTGGATCTTTGAATAAATGGGTGGATGCCATGTCTTGGCGCTTCATTGGGAAGGAAAGGAATTCTCAAATAAAGCATGAAAAGGAAGACAGATTTTTCAATGTGATTGGTATACAGAGTGGTATACCATGTGTTATTATGTAAATAATGAGATATGTGTGCTAAAAAGTTAATAACTTAAAAATAAAATTTATCATCATTTTTATTAAAACACATGATGAATGGTGTACTACTTGTATTTTCGTGAACGAAAATTTCTCAAAATGGACGAAAGGAGAATAAAAACTTTGGAAAAGACTCGCGCACGCATGATTTGACCACTCAAAGTAATCCTCTACTTTAAGCAAATAATTGAGATATATTATAATTTATCTGTCTCCGTAAATAACAAAGAAAAAGAAAAAAGATTTGAATTATTGTATAGTTGCAAATTCGTATGGTAACCTTTTGCATGAAGAAGGAAAGTCCTTGTTCTTTGGATGCATATGAGGATGATGATTTCACACTTTCCAATGTTGTAAAAAGCAAATATGAGGGTGATGGTTTCACACTTTCCAATGTTGTAAAAAAGCAACATATATATTTTCATGGGAAATTGTTCGGTATTAGAAACATGACTCATTTTACATTTTATAATACAATTAGTTGAAGTTGATTTTTTTTTAAATTTAATTAATTGTATTTAATTGTGTTTGCGAAACACCGAAAAATTTCTGATATTTCTTTCTGTATTAAGCAGCTAGAGAGAGAATAACATTGACTACCTTCCAAAGCCGACAAGCACAACCCGTCCACACAACTAGCATAAGATATGGCCAACTTCGCTATACTCTATTTTAGGGTTTCTCACCTTCGTCCTTCTAACTTTTATTCTTCATAGTTTGGTCCATGAACATTTACAATTGTCTTTAATTAGGACAATTTGTTACTCTCTGTTATGAAAGTTGATACAAATAATCATGTGGCGTGACATAAGATGTAGGTAAAAACAAATAGACTTTTTCTATCTATAAAAAAATTGGTTGCACCCTTTCATTATTCTTCTATTTCTCAGCGTTTCTCTCTATCTATTGTTTCTTTAATATTTTTTTAGTTTTAGAGTGACAAAAGCAAACTCAATAACAACATGTCGGTGTAATCTATTTTGCTTTAGTCAGAATGCGCATAAAAAGTAATCATATGTAGGGTTGAGGGATTGAAGAAACAAAATAATTCGTGCAACATGATATACAACCAATTATGTCGACTGATAGAAGATGAAAACTAATTCACATCGACCGATCAATTGTCGGTTTGAAAAATCAATAAGCTACTTACAATAAATCCATTTAGTGTTTGCTATATTCCTTGTATCCCTTTCTATTTGTGCAAGTGTACTTCCTCTTAGTTTAGTGCATCGGACGATTACCAACCGATATGTCGGCACGGCGCGGTTTCGCCCAATACTCCACCCAATCCAGATCCAAGGCATAGTCACCCGATTGATGTCAATTTCTATAACAACGTCACTATTGTCCTCATTAGATGCACTTTATATAGTTCAGGACCAAGTTGCGACGAGAAATAATCTAAGAACCAAAGTGAAACCATTCCAAAAGTTAAGGAACACAATTGCAATTAACAGAATAGAAGAAAAATAACCTTGGCTTGGAGTGGAGTGAGATGCATGAGTTTTAAGGGGACTGGAAAGCCTGGGAGGGTTTCTGACCAGAAAAAGAAAGCCAGGAAAAAGAGTTCTCGTGCAAAACAAAGAAATTTTATACAAAACAAAGGAAAAGCAAACAAAAAATGTGCTCTCGTGGGAAGCGTCCCTTGTCTGCAGGGTATACTCAATTGCACCACATGTCACCTTTTATTTTCCCCTCTCTCTCTCTCTCTCTCTCTCTCTCTCAAGTCTCAACACTTCCAAACAAAGTCATGCAGCTTTTCCACACTCTGCCTTTCTGAAACTCCCTCTTCAAACCCCTCCTCTTTTCATCTCTCCTCTCAAACCTGAAAGTTGAAACCCCACAAGCCACAGTTATGCAATTTCAGAAGTTCGTGGTGCTAATAGTCTTGGTCTTTCTCCCAATGCTGGTTTCCGGGGACAAGGAAAACACAATGCAACTTGGTTTGCGCAATCAGCACTACTCCTCGTCGTCACCGAATAAGCAAGCAGACAAGGAACAAGAGAATAATAAGCAGCAGCGGCGTTTGAATTCAAAGCACTCGTTTGAGGCCTTCTTTTCAAGCAAGAGGAGAGTTCCTAACGCTTCAGATCCTCTCCATAATCGTTGAGGAATTAATCTGAAGCAACAAACAAATTAACGTTTTGAAGGTACAACTACTCATTTTGTCAACTTCATCAGGCTTCATCGGTAAATGGTTTTTCTTAACAGACGTGGGTTCGGAGTGTGCCCACCTATATTAATCTATTTGGTTGTTTAGTATACCAAATTGTTGTGTAAATTGAACTTGTTAATTATATTAGCACCGTCGGGCCCCTACCCCTTCAGAAAAGAAGCCTGAAGTGAACCTGAAAGTTCCTGTTTCTTTTTTGGATTGTCCATTTCTGTCCCTTCCAGTTCTCTAATTTTAGGTCTTTTTTTAGGATATGCAATGTACCAGTGAGAGATCAGTTGCTATATGTAGTCTGATACTTGTTTTAGTAGCCACGATTTTACCCGCATTGCAATTTTTTGCTACTTATGTGTCTTCAACTTCACGGCATCTTATTATCTTATTATCCTTGAACTTTCACGACACACGGTTGTATTGTTGTTGTTATATTCATGTCAATAAAATAAAGGAGTAAACTATATTTTACAACCTCTAACTTTGAACCACATAATTACAAATTCATACATTGTCCTTTGACGAAATGTCATGCATAAACTTACGAACTTGTTGAGTAAGAATCCTTCATGTATATAAGGTTGGAATGGTGCTATCCACACTCACTTGTTAATTTTTATCTTTTAATCTTCTTCAATTCATTTGATTTAATGATCAAAAATAAAAAAAAAGTTAATAAAAATAAAATAAAGTGTGGATAACAGCAACCATAAAAATTATTATATTAATAGATGTTACGAGAAATTCACATAAAGATGATAACCTGGTTGCATTAGCTGTATCCTGAATGCTGTTGCCATTTGCCCCCCCTCTCCCCCCCCCCCCCCAAAAAAAAAAACAAAAAAAAAAAAAAACTCCTTGCTTTGAGAAGCAAATTTGAAAATTGCCTTTTGACCGTTGAAATCTGTACGGATCATCCGATCAAGAAAAGAATAAGCACTTTTTAACTGCAAGAATTATAACTTTGAACTTGATTATTACAGTCAAACCATATATATTGATTAACTATCAAGCAAAGCAAAGGAAATAATCTAGCAGTAGTATTGTGCAATGGAATTTATGGTCCAATTTTTACGTGGAAGATAGCATGATCGGGCGTGGTTTGCAAATAGCCTCCAAGGGCTTCACCCTTGGCATCGTAAGCCCCAAGCCCTCACTCATGTCCACCTCCTCTTCACCAATCCTCTCCCACTCAAACGACTGAACCAAGCTTCCCAGCGCCAACCCAATCAACCGGTTCGCTAGGCCGGCCCCAGGACACCCTCGCCTTCCAGCCCCAAATGGAATCAGCTTATACCCTTCGGATCCCTCACCGCTCCACCCTTCAAACCTTTCCGGCTTAAACTTTTCGGGGTCCTCCCATATCTCAGGGTTCCTGTGGATAGCCCACGCATTGATCACCAGCATTGTGTGACGTGGGACGTCGAATCCCCCTACCACGCAGTCCTCTGAGTTTTCATGAGGCACTAGAATTGGAAATGAAGGGTACAAACGATGCGTTTCGTTGATCACATTTTGTAAGTAGCTCAGGTTTGGCAAGTCTTGCTCTTTCAACACACGATGATCTGGTCCAATCTTGGTGTCTATCTCGGCTCTTAATTTCTCCATTGCATCCGGATGGTTTAGCAAGAGCGCCATTGCCCATTGTAGGGCTGTTGACGTTGTGTCTGTCCCAGCTACCAGCAACACCTACAATTAGTATTTGATTAGTAGACATTGATAATTCAAAGGGAGAGATTCTGTTATATCATCGAGACGATACACACCTGTGGCGTGACTTGGCCACCTATATCGTGATCACGTTTACTCAATGTACAAACGCGTGGTTCCGTGACCATATGACGAAAGATGCATACAAACAGATGTATACACATAATCACTCAAATATTTGATCAATGCATCTACCTATATCAGTTCATGTGGACAGGGATGGGCATTTTATCCATGATTTTTATTATGAAAAGTTCATATTTAATATCGACTACGACTTTGATATCAAATTAGGAAGAACCATGGTATGTTTAGCCTAAATTTTCACTTAACTAGAACATTGCTGCATACAAAAAGAGTTGCAGG